CCTATCGGAATCCCTCTGCTTTTTTTCAAGATGGTCTTTTCAAGAGGTTCTTTCGGCAATTCGGGATGATCTTCAATCGGTTTGCCTGACTTGTCCAGCCATCTCGTGAGTGGAAGACTGTCGTACGTTTCCTTGTTCATGAATGAGAAGCCATCTTTGATTTCAGGTCTGTCTGCTTCTCTTTGCTCTTGTCTCTCATAGAACTCCGTCTTCTTACTCAAGCTGTCGGCATTCTGATGTTTATCTTGCGTTCTATGCTCAATTATCATGTTGTATCCATCCAAGCGAACTATCCACCTCCCAATATAGCTCTGGTCCATTGAGTACGTTTTCAGCCAGCTTAGTGCTCGGTTGTCGACTCGCAGCTTGAAGGGCTCACTGCCTAAGTATGCTCTGTATTTTTCGACAAAGGTGACCACCGCGAACATCTCTGCTTTCGGTGCTCCGTACTTCATTTCTGTGTCACTTAGGACCTTGCTCCCGTATGCTATTGGTCTCAAGACTGTCTTCCCATTCCATTCTTGTTCTTGATGGAGAATCCCAGAAATAGCGACTACTGACGCATCCGTGTCTAGCACGTACATCCCCCTCTCAGTCGGCATACCCAGTACTGGTGCCTCACACAGCTCTTTCTTTATTCTCTGGAATGACTCTTCTGCCGCGTTGTTCCACGTGAACTTCTTGCCCTTATGTCTCATTAATTGTTGCATCGGGTATACCTTGTCCGCATAGCCCTTGATGAATTCTCTATAATAGTTGGCGAAACCCAGGAAGCTCATCAGCTGGTGCTCCGTCTTCGGTGATTTCCAGGTTAGGACTGCTTCCACGGCGTCTGGATCAGGTCTGATACCGTGTTTATCTACCATCCTGCCCAAGTATTTAATCGAGTCCTTGAGTATCTCGCACTTTGATGGTTTACACTTCAGCCCCGATCTTTTCATGCACGCGAACACCTCGTCAAGCCTCTCGATGTGGTCTTCTAGTGTTGGCGTTGCTATTACCACGTCGTCCACGTAGCACATTACCAGGTTGCCGTACTTCTTCGTCACGCCTATCAACGCGTGTGCCATCAGCCGCTGAAACGTGGCTGTTGCATTGCAGAGTCCAAACGGCATCCGTTTCCATTGAAACAGACCCAACTCGCAGGCGAACCCTGTCTTGTCCCTGTCTTGCTTCCTTAATGGTACCTGCCAAAAGGCCGAGCCTAAATCAAGAGTCGTAAAAAATTTCGCATCACCTAACTTCGAGAGGCTCTCATCAATTCTAGGTATGGGATAGGCATCCTTCACCGTGACGGAGTTCAGGTATCGAAAGTCACAACAAAACCTTAACTGGTCGCCTTTCTTTTTGGCCATCACTACTCCACACGCCCACGGTGACTTGGATGGTTCTATCATGTCATACTCTAGTAACATTTCGATTTCTTTTCTACACGCGTCCGATTTGTGTGGGGTCATGCGCCTCGCCCCCTCCCTGTGTGGTACCGCGTTTTCCTCAAGTTCTATTTCATGTTCAACAAAATTACAACACCCGATATCCGCCTTATGCCTTGAAAAAACCTCCTCGTTCCGCTCTAGTACGTCCTTGATAGCTTCGAGCTGTTCATCTTTCAGTTTGCCCCTTAAATGTTCAATCTCCGGCAGAACCGGTTTATCAGTTTGCATTTCATCTGGTGTGGGTCGCTCTGGAAAGTTCGAACAGCTCGAGAGCCCATCGTCCGTTTCTGACTTAAGTGATTTGATAAGACCTGAAGAATCTTTTATTCTCTGCAATCGTCTCAAGATACAAATTTTGTCCCTGTGGTTGGGACAATCAACAACTTCATTTTGTTTTGAGTTTTCAATTGTTTCATATCGAGTTTTAACCGGTAAAGCATATCCCAGCTTCCTCCCTCTCTGTATCGTGATCGGTATATCAAGGGTATTCAACAAGACACTGACGCAGAGGCCGCTCTTTGTTATCGAAAATGATCTCCCTAAAACAGCAGCGCTTTGACTATTAGGATTTGGAACTATACACACTTGCTTGTTGTCACTTAGTTCATTATAATTTTTCATCCTCAAGCTTACGATTGCCGCTTCATTAGCTTTTAACCTCACTCTCCTACTCAAGAATACCGGTGCTTTGTTCTCATTTGCCATTATTAAATTTACCGGTTTGATTGCGTACCTCCTATCCGGGTTCCGTATCCTGAACATTGCATTATTTAGATCTATCGTTACGTCGAAATTCCTGATGAAGTCTCTGCCCAAAATGAATTGGTCAGATTCATCTAGGTTTTCTACCACGATGAAGCTCATCCACAGGTTACGTTCCCCCAAATTGAGGGCTATTATCGGCGTCCTGCCCAGCACCCGTAGGGCCCCTTTGTTTGCAGCTGACAGCCGTATTCTCGAGTCTATCAAGTCACCTTTGTCAAAGCCCATCTTTTCCCATGTTTCGATTGGTATGACGCTCAAGACTGCTCCCGTGTCAAGTAATCCACGCAACTGAGTCTTTTTGCCATTTATGTCTAGCACGTGCCCTGTCACGTCTGCTTCCGTCCCGATGTGCATTGCATCTTCTTCAAGCATGGCACAGTGTCCGATCGATCTTACTTTCAACTCTTCTTTCCCTACATAGATTTGTCCAATTAGGTCTTCGTCGCATGTTATCATCGTCTTGGTATAGATGTTGATTCCATCTATATTTAGCATCACCTCGTGTGGACCATAAGCTTCAGTGTACCTATTATCAACACGTACCGACTTGCTGCCCCCTCTCGTGAGTAGTGCTCTGAGCGCTCTAGAAGTCGTTTGTGGACTTATTCCACTCAAGTAGTCTGCATACACGTCAATGTGCATTATCGTCTGGTCGCTTGGCTCGCTCAAGTTTCTGGTTACTTCGTGGCCGCCCACTGTGATTATCGACATTATTCTTGCTCCGATTTTCGATATTCCAAAAGGTTTACCTGTCACCATTTTCACGGTGTTACAATTCCCGTTCTTTGTTGAGCCCGTTCTAGCCTCTGGTACTGAGTTCGATCCGGTTAATGCTTCGTTAAAATTCTGTCTTTCGATCTCCAACTTTAGTCGTTGCTCTATTTCTTTCGCAGCCAGATCTTGTTTCACTTTGGCAATTGCTTCCGTCGCCGCTTTCTCATAATTTATCTCTAGAGAGCTCCCGGCCGCGGACTCTAACGCACCGCTAACATGTGTTACAGCTTTCACTGTCTTCGTCGGCAATTCGGTGTTTGGTGCTCCTAAGTTCCTAGATTCAAACTCGTTTTGCCTGTTCCGCTGATTCTCCACCGCCGCTAATGCCAACTTATGTTTGGGGTGATTCTGGTCCTTGACCGCTTCCCAGAACAAGGGACAATCCATTCTGAAGTGCCCCTCCTGGTTACAGAAGAAGCATCTGGCGCCTATCTTGATGATTAAGCCATTATAGTACTCGTGTTCCTCCATCTGGCTCATATCCTCTTCATCCGGTGCATAACCTAGGCTCTTCATGCCTTGTTTGTACGTTGTGCAGTCAGCCACATGATGATCCGCTGACCCGCAGTTCGCGCATGATCTGCGCTCGTCCATATCATCTCTAGGTTTGTACCATGATGACCTCTGGGGTTGGCTTCCCCCTTGCGTGTTCCTGTTTTCAGAATATGAGTACTTCTTAGGTTTCATCAGCATGTATTCTCTTGATTTCTGTCTCATTTCTTCTGGGGTGGGTGCGCTGTCCTTCGACAATGTGTAGTATGTTGCTAACATTGTCCTTAAGTCATCACTTTTCACCCCATCGATGAACTTCGAGGCAATGCTAAAGTTCCGTCTATTTGTCGACTCCTCTGGGTCACTCCTCCTTCTCAAGCTCTCGAGGTCATCTAGGAACCGATCTATTGACTCGTCGTCCCTCTGCCTTCTCTTTTCAAATCGCATCATCGCTTGGTGACCCTTCATGCCTGACCCGAATCGATTCAGCAATATCTCGAAGATCTTGTCCGCGGTGTCGCGTTCTTCTTCCTTCTTTGCGACCACGCATTTTAATGCCGTTCCTTCCAAGTTGCTCAGTATGGCTGTACATGCTTGTCTTTCGTCACTCAAGTTATCTTGTTCTAGATGTAATCTCATCACTTCCACCCAAGTGTCAATGCATCCATCGGAGTCGTCCTTGAATTCTTTTGGCTTCTTGAATGTCTTTCTTGTTTTTCCCTCTCTCCTGTCGCTCGAGTCAGTGTTCCTCGTGGCGAAGGCCTCTAGAGTCCTGTTCATCATCTCCCAAGTGCTGGCCCATGTCATAGCATCCGGTCCTGTGTTGCTGTTAGCTGTTGCATCTCCCGGACCAGTCGTTGTATTCGACGTTCCATTCTTCATTATTGTTTTCGCAGCTGTTGGTGCTATGCTTATCGCATCCCTGGTTAAGGGCAACGGTGTCGATTGCCGTTTGTTCCTTTGTGGTTCTACAAAGTCAACTCTGGTGCCTTGCGTACGATCCGCTGCCGGTCTTTCTTGTGGAGTAGAACCTCTCAAGATTGCATCCAACTTCGCCTGTATTGCACACGAACTCTCGGCTTGACTCTTGCTCATTGTGTCCATTCTCCTTTCCAGGCTCCCTAATTGGCTGTTGACATCATCATATCGGTTCTTCAACTGTTGCATGTCTGTTTTGATGTTCTTTTCTCGTTCTTCATTGGTGGCTTCTACCTTATTTGACATTTCCTTGAGTTTCTCCTCTGTTGCCTTAGCTAGGTTAAAATAACTGTCTAGATACTCGTGCTTGTTGTATCTTATCTCCTTTTTTATCACCTCTCTGTCTTCTTCACTGTTCTTAAGTCTTTTGTCGATCTGATTTAATTTCGCCAACAAGTCGCCCAGCTCAATGGTAGTCTCTTCATGGTCAGCCGTCGGTTTCTCTTCGGCCGTAGCCTCTGCTTTAGCTTGTTCCTCATTCTGGCCGGCTTCTGTCGCCTTCGTGCTCACTGTACCAAATGTTCGTGCTCTTTCTGTTTTTGGTTCTTCAGTCACGTTTTCTTTCGATTTGAGTCCGACCATCATTGCAAACTTGTCTGTGAAGGATGTCTTTTTCACTTGAGAGTCGTTTTTCACAGTCTCTCGGGTATTGCCTGTTGTGTCTTCCAATGCGTCTATTCGTGAAAACTCCACGGTTTTTGGACTTTGGTCTTCCACGTGGGGCATCGGTGTGGATTCCGTTGTCCTCTTCTCCACTTCATCTACGCTCTGGTCTGGTGTCTCTAGGTCGATTTCGATTGTGGGCTCCACCTGTTTTTCCCCCACATCTTCTCGTTTCTTGCTCTCGGTGCCACTCCTCGTACTGACCATGTTAACTGAAAAGTTCTTCTTTGTTATCTTTGGGCCTGTTGATGTCGTTCCGCGCAGCGATGAATTATATTTCGTGTTTGATCCACTTGACCTTTTTTCGAGCACCGGTACCCTACTCCGCCTCATTATTTCTATTTACAACTGCTTTTATTTACAATTTTATTATATACACGATTCTATTCTAAGAATAAAAAAAATAATAAAACAAAAAAAAATTTTGTGGTAACAAATTTTGTACAACGTGTTAAAAACCTTGTTGTAGCTCTCTTTCTAAAACCTTTGAAAAATTTCCCTTAATGTGGTCTCAACCGTACCTATTTCGATTTGTCTTATTTTGTCTTAAGACACACTTGTTGTAATTTTACTTCAATTTTTATACCGTCCCAAGACTATTCGACACTATCACAGTACTCTCCGCTAGTGTCCTAAGACCCTTGTACCAAGGCCACTGTTCCAAGACTACTGTCCCAAGACTAGTGTCCCAAGACTACTGTCCCAAGACTAGTGTCCCAAGGCTAGTGTCCCAAGACTACTGTCCCAAGACTACTGTCCCAAGACTAGTGTCCCAAGGTTAGTGTCCCAAGACCAGTGTCCCAAGGCTAGTGTCCCAAGACTACTGTCCCAAGACTAGTGTCCCAAGGCTAGTGTCCCAAGACTACTGTCCCAAGACTAGTGTCCCAAGGGTAGTGTCCCAAGACCAGTGTCCCAAGGCTGGTGTCCCAAGACTACTGTCCCAAGGCTAGTGTCCCAAGACTACTGTCCCAAGACCAGTGTCCCAAGACCAGTGTCCCAAGGCTAGTGTCCCAAGACTAGTGTCCCAAGACCCTTGTCCCAAGACCACTGTCCCAAGACCACTGTCCCAAGACCCTGTCCCAAGACCACTGTCCCAAGACCCTGTCCCAAGACCACTGTCCCAAGACCCCTGTCCCAAGACCCTGTCCCAAGACCACTGTCCCAAGACCCTGTCCCAAGACCACTGTCCCAAGACCCTGTCCCAAGACCCTGTCCCAAGACCCTTGTCCCAAGACCACTGTCCCAAGACCCTGTCCCAAGACCACTGTCCCAAGACCCTGTCCCAAGACCACTGTCCCAAGACCCTTGTCCCAAGACCACTGTCCCAAGACCCTGTCCCAAGACCACTGTCCCAAGACCCTGTCCCAAGAACACTGTCCCAAGACTGCTCTGTCCCAAGACTTCTTCGGTACTGTCCCAAGACTCGTCACGGAGTGTCTTCCTCGTTGTAGGGTCTTCTTGAATCACCGTACCTTGTACCACCACTCAAGCTCTAGTAAAATTTTCCCAAAAACCCTCTCTTAAAAGCCAAATGCTGACCCCCCTCTTCTTTTTGGTTGTTTCTATTTCAATGTTGGTGCGCAGGTATCTTGTGATCACCTGTTCGTATAAAACCAAACACAAATCCTCACTAAAATGCAACAAAAATCTAAGTAAGAAAAATAATAAAAACAGAAAAATGAGTCCACCTGAAATTCAAAGGTGACCAATGTCTACCTTTCGTCTAAAAAATATGTCTGGTACCTAATTGCCACGCGTTTTCCTTCCCCCCTGCTAGCGATCTTATGGGGTATTACAAAAACTGTCTATGTCCCTTCCCCCCTACCAATCCGACCAGGGTACCTTCCTTAACTCGAGTTCAAATTTCGATCTCCACCTAATATTACCAACGCGTGTTAGTTTCTAATGTAACTAAGTCAACGATGTCGACTAATTAGTTACTCTAATTTCCCCCTTTTTACAATTTACAACCGCCAACCTCTAACTTAACCAGCCCCCCTTCTAACCTCCCCCCTTTTTAGCCCCCCTTCTTCAGCCTAAAATTACCTTAAGCGCCGGGTGCTAAACCTCTCAAGAGAAAACCGTAGACCTGTTTCCAGGCCTGCTCAAGTAAAAACGTTCCTCAAAACCGGGGGATGTCGCTTATCCTATTTTACGCTTATCTCCTATAATGTAATCTGGATTTTAACGATACCCGTTCTGCCCAACTTGAGAACTCGAGAATTGCCAAATCCTTCTTGGCTGCTTTCCCACTCGACTGGTCACCTGTTCCAGTCCAGTCTCCTATTGGTTCAGCTCAAGTGTCCCTGAACCACTTTCCCACTCGGCTGGTCACCTCTTCCAGTCAAGTCTCCTATTGGTTCAGCTCAAGTGTCCCTGAACCACTTTCCCACTCGGCTGGTCACCTCTTCCAGTGAAGTCTCCTATTGGTCCAGCTAAGTTCCAAACTATCTGAAAACCCTTGACAACGCCCCACACTCGGGCACTTTATTACGGTTACTGGGTTAAATTGCTAGGTTGATCGAAACGATCGAACTTATAAAACAGTATGGGTATACTATTTAATTAATATAAAGGTTTGATCCAACTGATCTGGTGTCAAAGTCACTGTCTTTTTTCGTTTTATGGTTTTTGTTCCTTTTTCTATTCCTTTTTTGGTTTTTTTTTGTTTTGCTTTTTGTCTTTTTGCTCGTGTTTTTGTCCCCCTAGTTGCCCCCCTTTACTCGGTTAGCTAAGCCTCGTTCGGAGAGCGTACCAGGAAATTTTCTCGAGTTTTCTTAAAAAGCTATCACGGTACAGCCGGAAGGTTTGCACGTTCCTGTCGAACCGTACCGCCGGTACTCTAGAATGGGCATTCAGCCCGAAGCTGTCTCAAGTGGGTTCGACTCCGTAGTCTTGATGTCGTAAACACCCAGGAGCGCCATAAAAACACTATGTAACATTCGTCTACTGCAGTCACACATGAGGCTTAAGAAAAATAGGCCCTATAACCACTGGCTCAAGGGTCAGGGACACTATCTCTTGTGTTTTTGTACCTCAAGAACGGTCGGAGCCAGTTCGGTTCGTTTGTGACATGAGACTACGACCCGTTACAGCTTAAAGGCTACTACTAAAATATCCCCCCACTCTAGAATTAGAAACGTCCCCATACTTAGGTCTCTAGATACCCAAAATACATGAACGCCGTTAAAAACCGGGTTGGAACAATCCGTTAAGTTGCTTTTTTATTAGACAGTGGAACTTTGATCCATTTCAGATGGATCAACCTAAAACTCACCTTACCTCAACATAACAATTATAAAACACACTCTAGGAATTTAAATTTGTACTCACATAGTAGCACGCTCAAGAAGTGGGAAATAATCCAGTCGGTAGTTAACTCAAGAATTAAATAACGTAACTAAATGAGTCTATTGTTTTATAGTTTTAACAATGAGAACGAGTTTATACTCTAGACAATAGTTTTCTTGTGAACCATTAGGACACTCGAGTTGTCCACCTTTCCACCGAAGGTTCACTCTAGTCCAGTTCCGAATAATACTCCAGTCGCTATAATCCAATTCGTGGGAATGCTCTCGTCTCTGTCACAGATGGGACAGCTCTACTCTCGATTATGATAGTGATGGAAATTGCGAATAGCAATTTCCTACTGCTTTTTCTTACAACTTTCCCGCGTGTGTGACTCAATCGTTCTGAAATTGTTCTGATTTCTTTTTTCTGATTTTCAGTTATCGCGAGAAAATCGTGCATGACAGGTTCCATTCGAAATTTTGAAAAATTAAATTTCACTCCAAAATCAAGTGTTTTTTGCTTCTCTCAAGGTCAAACTTCCAAATATGACCGACTGGCACAATGGCACATACTCCCCGGACAAATCCCCATCAATGTCCCTACAAATCGCATAAGAAAATGAAATGTATCTACTCCACCTCAACTCACTACGTGTTCACAAATGGCATCGTACTACATCTCACTGCCTTTCAACATTTTCACAAAATTTGCACCATGAGGAGTGTCCTAGAAAAATTTTCTTCTCTGACTACTTAAGTCATCTTGCCATAAAACTTCTTTTCGCTCTTTGTGATTAAAAAGTTGGGACGTGGCACGGCCACAGACCCGTTAAATTTAACTTAACGTCACTCACCAAGTATAATCAGTTATTTACGCAGTCCTTTCAATATTAAAACTAAGAAACTCTGTGGCTAGGAAAGTTTTTGAGTTACTCACCCTTCTCGAGCGAGTTTACCCGAACTTACCATGTCACCACACAGTGAAATTGTGTCTTACACAGGTTAAAAACTTCAGTCGTGTTTAAATAGGTAAATATACTCACCTATGTTCTATATATATATACATAAGTAGTATAACTAAAATTCACTTTCAACGATTTTAACAATTGTAACAATTTTCAAAGTTCGGTTTGACCAAACTAAATCAAAACAAAAAGTTTAACAAGTTCAATAATCAAACTTGGTTGATTGGTTTAAGTTTTAACACACAAAGACAATCAAGTTTTTTCTCCTTCTCTTCTTTCCATGCTCACGTCTTCACTTGTCCTCTTCGTTCCATCATCTTCATTCCATTGCTTCTCCATCCTGATCTTCAGCTTCGCTGTCTTCTAGGACTTTCTCCAGCATGTCCATGGAGTTGCGGGCCGTGCCACAACTCTCCTGTTCCAACAGCCTCGGTTTGCAAAAAGGTAGCAGGTCCACATTCACCTTTTGCTCCCGGTTCCTGCAAAAGCTGTTGGGAAGACACAGGCTCACATTTTTTTCTAGGTCAGCTCTTAGGACCTCTTTCTTCTCATCTTCAGTTACACAAGGCGCTCCAGCTACTCGCTTCACCGCCGTGGTGACCGCGTTTCTGTGCGTTAGGAATGCTCTCTTATAGGCTCCCGGTCCTATATCTAGCTGGAAAGGTTGATAGGCTTCCGTGTTCCTTGACATGTGACGCTTCGCGCGTTCATACATCCATGACGTCATCACTGCACGGAACCAAGGCATCAACCTTTGCCTTGACCATATTCTTTCAATGGCTTTGGGTATTCTCAGAACCTTGCAGGTGGTTCTGAAAAGATCCAATTCACGGCTCATCTTCACGTTGCTCAGCTGATCAGGAGTCGGCACGGCCGTCTCCTGTTCACTTGTGTCCGCGTTAGCCTCCAACCATCTCACTGCCAGCATAGCACTAACCACCACGATTGACAC